TTATATATATATAATAGTATAAATAAAAATTTATAATATAATATTTTTTTAAAATAATATTTCATATTTTAATAATTAATAATAATAATTTTGGATTTAATTTATTTTAAATTATATTTTATACTAAATAAATTTTATTAATAGCATAGTAATAAAATTATAATTTTTAAAATAATTTTATTGTTGTTGATAATTTTGAGTAATTAATTTTTAAATTAAAATTTCTAAATCATAAAAATAAATTTATTATAATTTTTCAAGTATTATTATATTGAATATAATTTTTTGCACACATTTGCAACATTTATTATTGATAATATAAAATAAAAATTATTATAAATATATGAATTTTTTTAGGTTTTAATATTATAATTAAATACTGTATTAATACTGTAATTAAATAATAATTATTAAAATAAAAATCAAACAATAAATTAAATTCTAATCTAATAGTATTAATTGGAATTTTTTTTTTTAAAAAACTAATGGATATAAAAACTAATTTAATTTTACTGAAAAATACTGGTTGTGTGCAAAAATCTTTTCAGTTTTCAGAAATAAACGTATTAATAAATAACGTCAATAAAAGAAATAACGTCAATAATTATAAACAATAACTTATTCAAATTTAAAAATACTAAAAAATTAATTATAAATTTAATAATTAATTGTTTTTTAATTATTATTGACGTTATTTCTTTTATTGACGTTATTTATTAATTCGTTCATTCGCAATTTTTGAATTCCTTCGTAAACAGTATTTATGGCCGCCATATGTGTTTCCAGTGTTGCCGCATGACTTCTCTCACTACTGCCGATAATAGCTTTATACAAATTTTTGTATCGGTGTCACTGATGTGGTGTCAGCATTGGCGGCTACTAGTGCCGATGATGTATGGTCGCCTATGGGGTAGACTGCATTGTTCCGCACCTATTATCTTTGGTGAATACCCGCATTGTATTTGATGGTCGACCAGATCCGGCAGTTTTGCTGATGTCCGGCAACCGTATGGTTTGTGCATACAATACACTTCAATTGAATTCAGTATGCGCTGTATTTTTGGGTCGACACCAACACGATTGGGCTGCTCTATGGGAACATCGGTGGCAATAGCATTGTTATGACACAAACAGTTGAGTTGGTTGTCCGCTGGTGGCGTCGGCACCGGTGGCAGCGCAGACATCGCACCAAATAATATATGGACAACAATTGCGGGCAACCGGTCGGATAGGGATGCGCTCGCAAATTGTACACAAAATCAATTTAATAGGAAATCCAGGTATAGTATCATTGTTTGAAATACTAGTTGGCAATATTGAATCCATTGATTGAACTGGGATTAAAATTAACAAAAAAAAATCAAAAAATTAAAAAAAACAGATAAATATTAATGTATAAATTAATATAAATATATATATAATTATAATTAAATATATATATATATTACCTCAAAATCAATCAATCAAAAAAATCAAACACACGCTATGTATTCAAAATAAAATTCAAAAAATAAATATATATATATATATACAGTATATATGTATATACTGTTAATTTAATATAATTAAACACAATTTATAATATTATTAAATTTAAATAAAATACAATCAAACAAAAAGATTAATTAAATTATTTATTATTTATTGATTAATTATTTATTAATTTTTTAATAAAATATATTTTTAATATTTAATTTATTACTAATATTGCTATCAAATATATATATATATATTTATAACGACTAATAATTTTTTTTGATAAAAATCATGGCTTTTATACCCTTTTTAAAAACTGTAGTAAATTATGGAAAATTAATTTCAACTAAATATGTAGAATATATATATATATATATATATATATATTAAAAATAATATCTAAAGTTTTGTAATAAATTTTGAATAGAAAATATTAATAAATTTTTATAGATATAAATGAAACAATTAAAGTATTATTTTTTTAATAACATATTAGTTATTAGTATTTTTATAAATAAAATTTTATACTCAAAAAAATATTTTCCATTTAATCAATATTTGTTTAAGTTTTTTTTGCCTTATTATTGTTTTAAATAATTAATTTTATTTAATTACTAATTACTATAATATACTGATATTTAATACATGTTTTTTGAATGAATAATTAATTTTATCAGTCAATTATGAATATATATATATATGGAAAATAGTTTATATATATATATATATAATTAATATATTTAATGTTATTTATAAATATATATGAAAATTTTAATATATATACATATATATATATTTACTGTATATAATTAGTTTAAATAAAAATAAATTTTATATATAATTTTAGTTAGTTATAACTGTATATCATATTAATAACTAAAATATTAAAATAAAAGAAAATTTTTTTTCAAATAAATAATAATATTAATAATAATAATAGTTTTTTAAAAACTTTTTAAAAAGTTAATTTAAAGTAGTTTTTATATTTATATATTTTTTTTTACCTAAATTATGATACATTTTCAACATATTTGTCAAAAATAAAGGCGCTTTCATTAGTTGATTAAATTTTAACGGTTTTCTATCCAATGGACAGATTTCCCGGTGTTGTTGTTGTTGTTGGCCATCATTGCTGTTGTCTAGCCATCGACTAATACAATCGTTGCAATATAATTGCCGACAACACGGTGTGACCAGTGGTCGGCAAACTATACCCAAACATATACCGCACGTTAGCTCATTGGCCAAATCAATGGCCGATAGTAGACCCGCTAATGTACGGCTATTGCTATCCATTTTTAAAGTTAAAAGTTTAACATATAATTATAATAAAACTTAATTTTTAAATTTTTTATAAAAAAATAATAATAATTAATTTTATAAATTTTTTAAAAAAAATAATAATAATTAATTTTATTTTTCTAATAAATCATTTTATTTATATACTAATTTATTTTTGTGTAACTAATTTTATGTATTATTAATACAAGTACAGGTATTTATTTATTTTTCTAACAAAACAATTTTTGTTTATTTAAATGATATAAAAATATTTTAATACAACAACAATACCGGTATATAACAATATATATATTAAATTTAAATATATATTTAAATACTGATATATATATATAATATTTAATGTAAACAATAATAATATTATTATTATTTATAATAATATTAGATCTAAATATTTTTTCTATTAACTAGTTTATAATATCTAAAAATAAATTTTAAAATTGTCCTAAATTTTTCATTTTAATCTGTAAGCTGTATATTAATCTTAATCTTTTTTTTAAAAAAATTTTTAATAATAATAACAATATATATAATTATTTTTATCTTAACATTAATCTTGATATTCATGTACAGTATATTAAGTATTGAGTAAATAAATTATTGATTAAAAATTATAATTGTTTTGTTTAAATGATTAGTATTGAATAAATTTCAAATTTATTAATATATATAGAAATAATAATCAAATAATTTAATTATTTCATAGTTGATAAAAAAATAAATTTTTTCATATATATATAAACTGTATATTTAAAATATAATTATAAGTTAAATATTTTAAATAAAATACAACTTATAATCAGTTATAGGCATCAAATTGATTAATAACTATTTTTTTAATATTTATAAATTAAATATTTAAACTATAATAATAATAATTATTTTTTCTGTCATAATTAATATTTATATTATTAATGAAATATTTATTTTAAGAATAATTAAATACATCATAAGTTTATTATTATTATTTTTTTAAATTAATAATTTTATATAATTTAAATATATATATATATATAAAATATTTTTATAAATAACTAATACTTATTGAGTAGTATTTTAATTATTTATTATTTTTTTTGATAAATAAAATAAATATATAAAAAATTATTTTATTAATTAATTATAAAAAAATAATAATTATTTTAATAAATGATTTTTAACGTGACTTTTATGTTGTTGTTGTTGTTGTCTTTGATGGGCCAGTAGTTGCTGTTGTTGTCTATCCCGACACCGTTGTTGTTGTAATGTAAATAACAGTGCCGTCAAATGGTCGGGTAGTCTATTATGTTTGAGAGCACCTGTTGTTGTTGCTGATGATGATGATGATGTTTGGCACCGGTATTATTTGGCAAATTTTCACCCCCACCACCACTACTAGTATTATTATTAGCTATGGCACCGGTAGTATTATAACTACTGTCTTAACAATTATTAAAATTATATCAATTGTTAATTAATTTACAGTAAATTTGTTTTTTGTTTAAAATAGATATTAAAATATATATAATATAATTAATTATTTTTAAAAAAAACATAATTAATTTACTAATGTTATTTAAATTTTTATTAAAAAAATACTGTATATATATTTGGATACAATATAATTATTATTATATAAGTTTGTTATTGAATTATTTTTTTGGTCTAATTTTGTTTATATATGAAAAATATTTATTTATTTTTTTTAATTAATAATAAAAAAAACTGTAATATTTATAAATAAAATATTTCTTTATAATTTATGTTAGATATAAATATACTCCTAAAATATTTTTTCCAAATAAATGCATTTTTTTATAAAAAAAAATATCCATTTTTTCCAAATAAATTTACACTAAACTTGAATTTTTTTCAACAAAAAAAAATAAATTATTTTTGTACATAAAAATTCATGTTTTTATAAATATACAAATTTTATTATTATAATTTATTACAGCTTATGAAATTTAATAATAATTTAATACAAGTTAAATTAATATATAAATTAAAGGGGCTATTAATATATACTGTATATAGTTATATAATATATATTGTTTTAAAAAATTTAATAATTTTTATATAATTTAAATATATATATATATATATATAAATATTTTTATAAATAACTAATACTTATTGAGTATTTTAATTAATTATTTTTATTTTCGATAAATAAAATAAATATATAAAAAAATTACTTATATATTAAAAAATAATAATTATTTTAATAAATGATTTTTAACGGGACTTTTATGTTGTTGTTGGTGTTGTTGTCTTTGATGGGCCAGTAGTTGCTGTTGTTGTTGTCTATCCCGACACCGTTGTTGTAGTGTAAACAACAGTGCCGTCAAATGGTCGGGTAGTCTATTATGTTGGACTACCTGTTGTTGTTGCTGCTGATGATTGTGATGTTTGGCACCGGTATTATTGTTGGGCAACTTTCCAACCCCACTACCACTACTAGCTGTGGCACCGGTAGCTGTACTATCAAACAATAATAATTGTCCTAATTGTTGATTATTAGCCAATAGGGTGACCATATTTTCTAGTATATATCTCTGGCAATGTTGCATCAATTCAAGTGCACTAAACTGTATGGCATTCATATATAGTGTACTAACTGTTTCATGCGATATATAGTCACAGCACCGGCGGCTACAGTACCTCAACAGTCCGTCCAATTGAAAATAGGATGCGGCAGACATTAACTATTTTAATTTTTTTTAAAAATAATATTAATTTTAATATAAAAAAATTTAATTTATATATATATATATATATTAATATACCTCTAATATATCGTTTTGGTCGACATCGGTATTCAAATCAAAACCGCCATTATATAGGAATTGCATTACTTTCTAAAAAAAATAAAAAAAATTTTAAATAAAATTAATTAATTAATTAATCAATAATTAGTTAATTATAATATAAACTAATATTAATTTTTTAAAAGTTAATTAAATAATTAGTAAAAATTTTTTGTTTTAGACAATTTAAACTAATATAATACATAAAAATATTAATTAATACTTATAAATTAGATTTTTTAATTCAATAAATTATTTTCTATTATTTAATTAATTAATTAGTAACTTAAGTAATTTATTTTAAGTAGAAATAATATTTTTTTTTTGGTTATTTAAATCATTAAAATAAAATAATATATAATATTAATTAATTAATCAATAATTAGTTAATTATAATATAATTTTGTTTTGTTTTTGTAAAGTTAATTAATTAAATTAGTAACAAATTGTTAGACAATTTAATACTATAATTAATAATTAATAAAAAAATATATTAATATTATTATAATTAATTAATTATAAGCACTGGTAGATAATTAATTAATAGCCTTAACATACCTGAAATATATCAAATCTAATATTATTGATAACAATAGGTTCACGACTATTGTTGTTGTTATGATAATTATAATGATGTGGTGGTTGTTGTTGTTGATACTGATGTTGTTGTTGTAGAGCACCGGGAGGTAAGGATATTGATGACGATGAACGCAATGGTGATGCTGTAGTGGACAGTGATGATGACGATGACGATACAGATGACGGATCGGTAGTACCAGTAGTGATAGTAGTAGTACTTGTTTTACTAATATCTTGAGCACTGGTATGTTGTTGTTGCTGCTGATGATGACCAACACCAGCACCGGCAGCACCGGTAGGTTGCAGTTGAGTCTGAAACCATTGTGAAGCGTTGACTAATATGATTTTGTGGGCATAAAACACCCGTCCCTCGACTTTGAACGTACAGTCGGACATATCCCTGTTGTTAACATATTTGGCATCAATACGGGCGCCCATACGCAGGTCAATGGTGTCTATCGATTGGATGCTACCGTTACCGCAGCTACTGCTGCCGACACCAATACTATCACCAATTGGTGGCCCGATATTACCGCCGTTTGATGATAGGCTATGCTGTGATCGTCTATTTGGATGCAGACGGCGGCCAACATCGCCTCCGCCGCCGACGCGTTCATCGCCGCCACGTTTACCGAAACACGTGCTGATAATGTCGGCCAACAATAATGCCGTATCCGATGTCGGCTATTAAGAGAGATATTATAAGTATTTTTTGTTTTATCGATGAACAGGTAGTCAACTACTATACCCGTACCGTCTGATAGCGTAATAGACTGAACAATAGTGGCAAACATTCATCGATAAACTGTAGACTATAGTAGTAGTCATCGGAATCGGACCACATGTGCATAAAATCCCGCAACAATTGATCGGTAATGGCCTCCAAACGCATACCGTGGGCAGTGATCACTGTCTGCATCCATGTATGCAATGTCCAGGGAATGCCTACCGGGGGGGGGGGGGGAGGGGGAAGAAAATAATAATAATACAGTAATTCAATTGAAACGGTTGGACAGTTAGCTCATTAGCTCATACCTAGATTTCGGAGATCAAGTGTTATCTCTAGGCAACCGGTTTCGGCCGAATGATACATAGCTTCCTGAAGCACCCGTAGCTTAGTTTTGGTCAATTGTATGACTTTATTATTATTATTACTACTAGTTTTAGTAGTAGTAGTACTACTACTACTACTACTTACACTACTACTGTTGGCACCGGTATTACTAATATTACTGCAACTACTGTTCCCGTCAATAGTAGTAGTAGTAGTACTGGTCATCGACTTATTACTACAACTATTGTTGGCACCGGTATTACAATCACTGGTTGTATTGTTGCTGGTCATCAATGACATGACATTCAGAGACGGTAGCGACGACTGATGATTGGCTGCCAACCCGTGTGTCATACGGGACTTATCAACGGCAGCGGCGGTGGCTCTGGTTTTGCCGCCGCCAACAGTACCCGAACTTTCGGCCAGCATTTCCTCCAACGACAGAACATCCTTATACGTGCTGTAGGTTGTCTGCTGGGCTAACAGTGCCCGTACTATCCAACGTTGGCCGTGCATTGCAGCCACCGATATGGCTGGCGGACAACCGCGAGCGGCGGTACAGTGAGCAGCGGCCGACTGATCCGGTCGTTCGGTACTCAGATAGGGATCGGCGCCGTAGGACAACAGTAGGCGAACCAAATCGGTATGTCCGCCGCCGGCGGCCAACTGCAGGGGTGTCTGTGTTGGCCGATCGCCGCAATCGTCACCGTATCGATAGCCGCCTTCGACACGGGCACCGGCAGCCAACAAAATTTCGGCAATTTCCCGCTGGCCACGTGCGCAGGCATAGCACAGTGCTGTCCAGTACTGGGTTACTGTCGATATGTGACTACCGGTGCCGGCAATTGACTGACGATTTTTGTATTGTTGTTGTTGTTTCTGCGGCGCCGGTGTCTCAACATTGACATTACAGTGACCGCTGTCGACCAGTAGCTGAACCAATCGTTGATTACCGTCGACAATGGCCAACATTAGTGCCGTCAGACCCGAATCGTTGACCGTATTCAGGCCATAGTTGGCCGGCAATAGTTGAACGGCTTGTTGGACAATATCCGAACGCCCGGAGCCGAGCATACGGAAAGCCAGATCGGTTTTCAGCCGACGGGTACACTCCGTACTGTCCAAATCGCGGCGCCAGTATAGCCACTCTTCGCTGTTGGTCAGGGAAGTGGACAGTGGCCGGGGTGGACAATCGACACCGGGTAACAATAGTCGGGCGGCCTGGAGTAGGTCATCCCTGTCCACTACTGGCGACCGTCGATAGTAGGCCTGGGCGGCCGATACGCGCATCCATTCGTACAGTGGCGGCAATACCAGATACGGACGTTCGTAGACCAACTCCTGGCCAACAACACCGCCGCCGCTGATTGACGATGATTGGCCATCGGCTGTATTGTTGGCCGCGGCCACTACTGCCGATTGGTGTTCAAGTTGGGCGCATCGCATATAATAGTATAGTGAATGTAGTCCGCCTAACGACCAGTTTTGTTGCGACCACCACATGGTTTGACCAGATTTTCGTTGTTGTTGTTGACCACYACTGGTTGCCGCYGACGGCTGCATAGCTAACCGATATTTACGGATTTCGTCGATCAATTCGGCCAACTGTTGGACACTACCGACACAAGTGGTCAACAATTTTTGTTCCAATTGTTTGGCCAACTGTTGACTACCGTTGTTGTCGTCATGACTACTACTACTACCGGCGATACCGCCGCCACAGCCGCCGTCGCTGCCAATCATATCGACGGCTGCGCTAAGCGCTGGCGACAATCCTAGCGCACCGTTGGCCGTACGGCCGGCAATCAAATGGGCAAACGGTTGCAAAACACCCCACAGATCGGGATTGTTGGCCACACAAGTGTCCAACAGTTGAGCAGTTAGTACTACACCGCAACCACCACTACTACCGTCGGCAGTTGTAGCGCCGGCGGCGCCAGTGGTGGCCGTAACTTGAAGACAATGAATGATAATTTCTTCGACCAGATTTTCGACCGCAGCGGTCATATAAATAGCGGCCACTTCATCAACAAACTGACCCATACGGACGTCGCACATCCATCGGTGAAATTGGCCGACSGATAGCTGTAGGCCGGCTCGGGTTTGTTTGGATTGACGCCACTGWGARTAGTCGCCACTGCCTACTGGACAGCYGCCGCCACCGCCGCCAACACTCACGGCAAATATGGCGGCCGCCCGATGACCCGATTTAACGCATGTATCGGCCAATTGGGTGCCGAAAACAATACGGATGGCGCCGGCAATCTCGTGTTTCGTACAGATACCTGTCCACAACAGTAATAGATAAGCACCGGTAGGTTAATATAGTTGGCACACACTAACACTAGCACTAACACACACACACATAGACACACACATAGACACACACACACACACACATAGACACACACATACACATACACATACACATACACACACACACACACATACATAAATATATACACACATAAATATATATACATACATATACACACATTTACACATACACGCATTTACACATACACATACACATACACAAACACACACATACACATACACATACACATACACATACACATACACACACATACACATACACATACACATACACATACACATACACATACACACACACACACACATACATAAATATATACACACATAAATATATATACATACATATACACACATTTACACATACACGCATTTACACATACACATACACAAACACATACACATACACATACACATACACACACACACAAACACACACACACACACATACAAACAAACACACTCACAAACACACACACACACATACAAACAAACACACTCACAAACACACACACACATACATACAAACAAACACATACAAACAAACACACACACAAACACACACACACACATACATACAAACAAACACACTCACAAACACACACACAAACACACACACACATACATACCTAACGGTTTGGCCAGTCGTTGAGCTTCGCTGGCTATCCGGATGAGTGGCCGCTGTAACAGATAGGACAGCCGCGGCAAACAGTCCATCGAAATCCAACGGAGCCGTTGTCGTAGTCGACCCTCGCGTATCAGTCGTAGGACATCCTGGGTATCCCACGGATAGTGTTGCAGTTCAACCAGCCGTGAATGTGTGTCCACCCAAACAAAATCGTCGGCAGCATTGGTGGTCACGTTTGTACCGACGGTTTCCATCGATGAATATCGTTTCAATCGGTGGCGGAAAGTATTTCCGGTTATCGGCTCGTAATCGCTGCCCGAATAGTAGGACGAGTAGGTACTGGTCGAGTGGCCACCTGTTGAGCCGCCGATATATAACCCGAAAAACATATATAGAAATAGAAATAATTAATTAAATTAATTAATAAAATTATAATTAAAATTTCATAAAACTCTACTAATTTTCTACTAATTATTATATTAATAAAAAAAATTAATTTTAATTTAATTAAAATAATCTAATATATCATTAATTTTATAGATTTTTTTTGTTGAAAAATATATTTTATTATTAATTAATTTTTTTTAAAAAATATTATATAATTATAGAAACAAATATATATAGATTTTTTTAAAATTAATAAATGTTTTATTTTTTAATAAATTTAAATAATTAATTGAGATATTATTTTTTTAGTATTTAAAAATTTTAAGTAACAATTAGTGATTTCAAACTTGACTCAAATAATTAAATTATTATTGAAATAAATTCAATTCAAATAATATGATTGAATTAATTTTACAATTTTATCATAAAATACTTTAGTATTATTAGATCAGTATTATAAAAGTGTTAAAAAATWTTATTAATTTTTTYYAATTAAAACATATTTTAATACTTTATATTAAAAAAAAATTATATAAATAAATACAAACTTGATTATTTTTTAAAAAAATATTCCTAATTTTAATTTAAAATTTAAAAAAAACTATTACTAAAAGTTAATTAATTCATAAAATTATTATAATAAAYAKAAAAAATATAAAAATTAATATTATTTGATGCCAATTATAGCTATTGTATTAATTATTAAAAATATAACTTAATTTAATTAAATCAATAATATTATTTTTACAGTTATGTAAATAAATAGGAAAAAATTGTATTTTATTATTATTATTAAATATTTTAATCTAATTTAACTATATGTGTTTATTTGTAATTTAGTTAAATAAWTWAGCATTAAAWATATATAATCTGCACACTCAAAAAAACATACACAATTAAAAAATAATAAATAAAAATATTATTATTTTTTAACAAATTAAATGGTGATTAAATTATCTGTTTATATAATATAATGTAATAAATAATAATATTTAATGTAAAGCTGTAATAATATTAACTTAAATAGTTTTACAATAGTTTATGTAAAAATAATTATTATATTAGTAAACATTTAAGATTTTAATAAAAAGTAAAAAATATAAATATTAAAAAACTAATTTAAAAAATTAATAAAAATACAAGTATTTCAATAGTTTTTTTTAAATTATTTAAATACATTTATAATTTACTATCATATTATTATTAGTATAATTTTTTTTCTAAAACTAGTTTTATTTTTTGATTTACTAATTTTTCATTTTAAAAAACAAACTTAATAATAATTAACTAATTAATTAATTAATTAGTTTATTACTTAATTTTTTTTTAAAAAAAAATGTTAATTATCCTAGAAAATTTTTGAGAAAAAAATAATAAATTTTTCTAAATACTAAAAATATAATATATTTCTAATATAACTAAAATTACATTATATTTTATATTGATATTTAAAGTTTTATTTTTAATTATTAAAAAAATATAAATAAAATATACAATTACTTAAAAAAATTAAAAACTTAATGTTTAAAAAAATATAATAATTAAAAAATAATAAATAATTTAAAAATAAATAAAAAATTAAATCCCAAACCTTGTGTCCTCAGCGACATCTGTTCAATGGCTGCCCGTACGCCCTCTAGACTGGTCATACCTCCAGTGCCCGCAGCCATATGACCAGCGGACATCCCGGCGGCGGCGGCGGCCCTCGAAAATATACTGTCCTCCCGATGATGACTACCGRCGGCTTTACGCGATCGGAGACCCGCTGCCGCTGCCGACGAYTCAACCGATGGACGACTACTACTACAAGCATACGGATCGCCGCCACCTTTAACTATGAGCACCGGTAGTAGTAGTAGTAGTAGTAGTAGTATTAGCACCGGTATGATGATTGGTRGATCTATCGGTGCTATTAGTAGTATCGGTACCCGACGACATCGATGCATGACCCGATGACGAYAGTGACCTATGGCCRCCGCCACCTTTACCGCYGGCGCTGACCCTTTCATCGCCACTACTCGCCCAACCGTTGGCCTGCAATAGTAGTGGTGGTGGTGGCGGTTGTCTACTGTTGTTAGCCTTACCGCCAGTGACGGCACTGTTAGGCGTTACTATCGACGGATAGTAAGCGGACAGTTGTTGTTGACTACTATACTCATTAGTTGGCGTCGTCGGTGTTGTCGGTATAGTCGATCCGAAACACAGTATATTACGGCGTCGGGACTTCATTTTGGACAATACTTTACGTTTACTGTTGACCGCTGCAGCCGTAGCCGCCGCTGCCGACTGTTGGTCGGCAGTGGTTGTTCCGTCAGTAGTGGACGACGATTTGGTGGACAACGAGCCGTCCGATGGCCTATAGCTAAGAGCCGATTGTTGTTGTCTCAGCAAAACTGCCGGTTCGTAGTAGTAGTCATAGTAGTCGTTGTCGGCGTAATCGCCGTCGTCGTCGTCGTCGTCATCGTCAACATTGCCGACACTGTGGCCGACGCGATGGCCACCAATGTCTACGACATCGTAGATATCGTCGACGTCATAGATTGAGTGGTGACCACCACTGGCGGTGCTGGCGGTGGTGGCGGTAGTGGTGAGCATTGGTGTCGACTTTGAGGACAGATAGTAATTGTTGCGACCATAGCTACTACGGGCCGGTTTMGGTGGTGTCCCATGACTTGTCCGCGAGGAGGATATCATCGGTTTGTTATTTACCGATGTTTTCGGTGTTGTTTGGCCACCACTACTATTACTGTCGTCAACAATAACCGACGGTTGAAATGGCGATAACGATAGTCTAGGCGACGACCGATTGCCGACTCCGGCGGCGCCGGCGGCAGCCATCAGATGACTCAATACCGGTGCCGAACCGCCCAATAGATCCCGTCGTATGGGACTTAACGGTGTATTGGGTCGACCATTACTAACTGGTGGTGTTTCCCGTTGTTGTTGCTGTTGGTGTGGTAGCACTGGTAGGCACTGCTGTTTGTGTTGTTGTTGTTGTTGTTGGTGTTGTTGGGGTGGACTGGATCTCAAGTCTACTGACGTACAGTGACGGGACAGTTGGTTACTACTACTACTAGTGCTAGTAGTAGTAGTGGTAGTCATACGGCGCGGTTTGGGTCGTATAATGTTGTCCTGCGGTGGTGTCGGTRTCGGCGATGTCGGCGATGTTTGACTAATAAGTCTATTGTTATTATGGTTGGCCAGCACTGGTATGGATGGTGTCGACCGGTGCTGGCGATGCTGTTGTTGTTGTTGTGAAGCCAATTGCATCTGCAATTGTACCGACGGTTTTAACATTTTTTTAATTATTAATTAATTTATTAAAAAATGTTTTTTCCCGCTTAGGTATGCAAATACTAGTAGTGCCTAAAAAAAATAATAATTAAATAAAATATTAATAACTTATGTATTAAACTTTAATTTAATTTACAAAATAAAAATAAAAATATTTTTTAATAATAGATTTTAAATTTTAATAATACTAATTAAATTTAATTAATACTAAATCTCTAATAAATAATATATAAATTTTTCTAAAAAAAAATACAAAATATTATTTAGTATTACTCTATTGAAAAATTGTTAAAAATTTTAATACAAATAATATTTTTTTTTAAATTATTAATTTATTTTAAATAAAATTTATGTTTTAACTTTCAATTGTGAAATATACAGTATATTTATTTATATGTCTATAATAGACTTAAATATTTAATAATTGAAATATGAGTTTTGTATAACTATTTTGTTGTTATTATTGTTGTAAATATATACTATTTTATATAWATTWTATATATATATATATAAATATAAAATTTAATAATAACTAAAATAATTGCGTAATGATTATTTGATATAAATAATATGTAAATTTAATAGAAATATTTATAAATATTAATAGGATGTTTATGTAAATTATATTTTTTTTTAATTTTTTAAAATAAATTTTTCTCATTTTTCTATTTTTCTAAGTTTTATATTGTTATTTGATTATATAATTTATATTAAAAAAAWTTTATTAAAAAATATTTATTTTTTTATTTTTGTAATGTTATGTTAAAATAAATATCTTTAATATACAGTGGTTAGTTGTRAAAATTTAAATAATTAWAATTTAAATAAAATTAGATTTTTAAAAAAATATATATTTTTTATAATTTTAAACAAAGTCTATAATTATTTTTTTAAGAAAAAACTGTAATTATAAAAAAAATAATTCAATAAATAATAATCATAATTATATATGATTTAAGTTTTTTTTCTTAAAAATAAATATTAATAAATAATAAATTTTTGTACAATGTATTGATTAAAACRCACACAAAACAGTAATTATATTTAAAAATTTTGATAAAATTTTATATTATTTGTAATAATAATTTTTTTTTTAATAAATAAGTCCTTTTGCTTTATTCTATAAAATATTAACTCAAAAATAATATACAGTTTAAATTTGTACTAAAAATTTTAATTACAGTTACAATAGTTATTGTATTTTTTCAAAAAAAATAGYTTTAAAATTATAAATCAATAAAACAAATTGAATTTAAAATACTATATTATTATTATTATAATTATTATTATAATACAGTTTTAAAAATCAATATTATTATCACTATAGCAATAATAATGAAAAAAATTAATTTTAATTAATTGTTTATTAAATAACTCGTATATATATATATATATATATATATATATAAATAAAACATTTGTTTTGTTTTTGTGGAAAAAATAAGTAAAATCTATGACAAAAGTATTTAAAATATGTCATATGGTTTGTAACTAAATAGTCTCTCTCTCTCTCTCTCTCTCTCTCTCTCTCTCTCTCTCTCTCTCTCTCTCTCTCTCTCTCTCTCTCTCTCTAAAAATTTCAATGACTTTCAAAATACAAATCCTCTCTTTTAGTCAGTTTTATTAAGTCAGTCATAAATTACTTGTCTGTGTGTGTGTTATTAATAGCAATAATAATAATAATAACAACAAAAATATGTATTTCCTTTTGGGATTTAATAGATGAGTGAAAATAGTTAGAGAGAGAGAGAGAGAGAGAGAGAGAGAGAGAGAGAGAGAGAGAGCTATTAATTCGCATATTTCTGTCAATTATTTTTGTTTAATGTTTTTAAATGAATATATAATAAAAACCAACAAAAAAATAAAGTTAGAAATTCTTATGTTTTTTTATTACTTGTTTGAAACTCTTTATGTATGTGTGTGTGTRTGTAATATACAGCACATGTAGATATATAATCTCCCTGTGCTCACAYACACATACACATACACATACACATACACATACATACACACACATACATACACATACACATACACAYACATACACATACATACACACACACATACACATACATACATACAGTACACATACACACACACACACACACACACACACACACATACATACATACAGATACATACAAATACATACATACATACACACACATACAYACATACATACATACATACATACACACACACACACACACACACATACATACCCATCACCCCTTTTATTTATTATTAAAATCAATGGCTTTTTTGAAAAGAGAAATTTTATTTTTATTTTTTTATTTAATAATGTAATAAAAAATAATTTTCCTAAAAATATTTATCATATWAACTATGTGAAGGTATTTACAACTACAACAAAATTATAATATAGTAATAACTATTGAATATAATAATAATAATAATTAAAATTTAATAAATTCCTAAAATAGTTGCATAAATTRTAATTATTATTATTATTTTATTAATACTGTAATATACACTGTATTATACTAATTGTAAAATATTTTTTTTAAAAATTAATAATCTATTATAAATTATATTATTATTTTATCATCATAGATTTTATATATTTAAATATTAATTTTTTTAAATTGATTTTTTAATGCACATAATTTTATTTTTATTTTTTTTTTGAAAAAAATAATAATAAACTAGTTATCTATATGATTGCATAATATTTTGTAAAACAATTTTTTTAGTTTTTTGTTAAAAACTAAATTTACATAATAATAATAATAATAATGCATAATATTTATATATTAAAAAAATACAATTTCAGTATTTTATTTAAATTTCAAAAAAAACATTTATCTTTTTTTGTTGAATATTTTTTTTATCAATCAGTTGTAAGAAACTAAAAAATGTTTTTCCAAATAACTCAATGAAAAAAATTCAAAAAATGTGACATTTGTTTGTCTATTGTATTATATAACACATAAAAAAACTACAATATATTATATACAGTACTTAAATACTGTATATAAAAAAATCTCAAACGGTTTTCATTGCTAAACAATTTCTAATATATATATATATATATATATAATGTCAAACATACATACAATCTCTTACACAAAAAAAAATAGGTTCACTAAACACACAATTATTACGACAATAAATATATGGGAAATAATATTATAATTTTTACTTWAAAAAAATAATACTATTTTATATGTAGAGAGAGAGAGAGAGAGAGAGAGAGAGAGAGAGAGAGAGACTAAGAGAGAGAGAGACTAAGAGAGAGAGACTAAGAGAGAGAGAGAGAGAGAGAGAGAGAGAGAGAGAGAGAGAGAGAGAGATTTAAAAGATATTGAAAGAGAGAGAGAGAGAGAGACATAAAATTCTATACAAAATCTTTATCTCTCTCTCTCTSTCTCTCTCTCTCTCTCTCTCTCTCTCTCTCTCTCTCTCTCTCTCTCTCTCTCTCTCTCTCTGACTGTTTCTTTCATAAAATAAACTTTTAGTTTTTTTTGTGTGTGTGTGTGTTGTTATTTGAATTGCATGTCAACCTCCCGGTGCCCCCACACAACCATACCATACCATACCATACCATTCAATGTGTCTATCCGTGAGAATTGGTACACATTTTTYCACAAATTTTATTTAGTCGTATAATCCAAACRAAAAAAAATAAAATAAAATATTTTTTTCAGTAGATATATATCTAATACATATATTACATATAAAACTATAAGAAAATATTTATTTATATTTATTTATTTTTTGAGTAAATAAATATTGATTTTAAAATATAATTTATGCTTAACTATTCTACAACAACAACAAAAAAACTAAATAAAATAATTTATTTTATGTTAGTATTGAAAAATTTGTAAAACAATTTATTTTTTGATTTTTTTGTTGTTGTATTGAATTGTATTGTTTATGTCTATACATAACAACAACAACAACAACAAAAATTTTATTATTTGTATTAAATCCATAATAAATGTTGTAAATATATAAACTAAATATACATTTATATGTGAAATATTGATGTATAAAAAATATATCATATGTTTGATTGATATCATTGAAATMAATGCAAAAAAATTATTAATAAATAAATAAATCAAATATTTAAGYGAAAAAAAAACAGTGAAATTCAATATAAATTTTTTTGAAATAAAATAATAAACATAAGTATTGATTAAAAAAATATTTAATTTAAAATAATAATAATTTATTTTCATTACTATAAATAGTAAATTATTATTATTATTTTGTAGACAAAAATCTAATAATAAATTATATCTCAATTTTTTAGTATTAAATAAAAATATAATTATTATTATATATCAAAATCAAAAAAAAATATYATTACATACCATAGTTTTATTTGATGATTATTTTTATTTATTTATAGATACAGTAGATATCAGATACATATACCGACGTGTTATGATTTTTTTATATATATATAMAGTATATACTGTATATATAGTAAACTTTAATAATAATAATAAATTTTTTATTAAAAAAAATTATTTATCTCCCATTTAAATATATATCACACACACACACAAACACATTAGCACCGGTAGATATTTAAATATATATATATAATATATWTWWATGTTATTATTTTGTGGATTTTTAAAAAAAATATCATATATTAAATTCACACTAAAWATATATATATATATATTTCAATAATATATAAATGATTTTATAAATAAATCCCAATATTTTTGTTGTTGATGTTTACTACTGTATTAATGTTTGAACTCCCTATCCATATACGGTATATCCAGATCACTGACACATACACATAGACACACACATACAGTACATACTGTACTATATTGAGGAACTGTCGCTTATTTAACTGTCGACCCAAACTTGTGTCAACCCATCACTATCTCATAGTCATAGTAGTAGTAGTAATAGTGACCACAAAATAATAATAATAATAATAATCACAACAAAAATATTRTGTYTCTAAATAAAAATTATTACTAATATTTTTATCTCTATATATATATATA